CCACTTCAAGAGAAGCACCAGCGTCACCAGTAACTGAGACATCATCAATAACACATTTAAGAACTAATTTGCCTTTCGAAACTGTGTCATCATCAGAAAGCAATCCAACAATCACACAAGTATCGTCAATAACTAAGACTTCATCAGAACTATATACCTCAACTACACATGTGTCAGCTGTGACACAGACTTCATCAGAGAACTATTCAACTGGAAAAGAATTGCTATCAATAGCATCGTCCTCAGCTGAAGTGCATTCATCTTCACGGCCATCATCAGTGACTCCATCTACACCAGAATCCAGTCCATCAACATCACAGCTCTCATCAATAACTGAGCCTTCTTCAGAATCCCATGCAGTCCATACCCAACGCTCACCAATAACTGAGACATCATCAGAAATGTATCCTTCAGCAGCACAAACATCATCAGTGACAATGTCTTCATCAGAGACCCATCTGACAACCACACAAATGTCATCATTGGCAACATCCTCATCTGGAATCCACTCAATACATGCAAGTTCATTACATACTACAGCAACACCCATACCATCCTCACTGTCTTCATCAGTTGTCCATGTAGAATCTGCACAACAATCATCTACTACTTCAACCAAATATTCGTCTACTGTTTCACCAAGATCATTCTCTTCTGGTTCTACATCAAAACAATTGCCAATTGTTTCTCCCTCTGCTTTTCATTCCACTACAGAAATGTTCAGTACAGCATCCAAATCTACGTTCACATCTCTGCAATCGTCCACTGCAGAAACAAACACCTCATCTCATGTCACTTCCAAATCAGTTACTTTTCATTCTGAAGAATCAGCCTTCCCTGTTGTTTCTTCTGCAGGCAGCAAAAAAACATCTTCTACGCCAATTTCAGTTTTGCCAATAGGAAGAACCAGTCCAAACCAATCACATTTGACAACTTTCCCAACGGAGGGCTCTCCTTTAATGCAGTCAACATCATATAAAAAAAGCAGACCCATTGTTTCTGTTCCTCAAAGGTCCACCAGATCTACATCTTATGGAAAAACTACGTTTCTGACTTTTACTCATACTCAGCCTGATATGACTACTTCCAAACCACTTATTTCCTCTTCCACTCCCAAGAAGATAAAACAAACAACTTCATATTCAACTGTTGAAACTACCATAACTAGAATTGTTCCCATCACCTCTGCTAATTTTACATTGCCAATTACTTCTCATCCAAATCCCACAAACTCTACGATGGCTACAACCATAGACTACTGCAGAAAATGCACATGCCTAAATGGAGGAATGTGTAACTCAAGTGCCACAACAGAAGACCATTGTGTATGCCATTGTCCACCTTTTATTTATGGAAATCTGTGTCAAAATGGAAACAACAACACCAATGTTGTGCTAAGTATGTGACCTTTACTGTTGCAAATTGTTTATGGGATATCACTGCTTTGTTCTTGTTTTGTATTTTCTAACAGCTTGTTAGTCCTTCTCAAAATATAACATAAAGCTTGCAATCAATCCAATAGCTGAGTAGCTAGATGTTCTTCAGATCTCAGATAGTGTGACTCTAAGGCAGTGAGACTAATCCCAATATTTCTACAATGAGGAGGGATAAAGCCAATAATTTGTCTTGCTTTTAATTGATGATGATCTCTGCTTAAGTTACCATGTGTCAATGTCAGGAATGGAAAAGCTTTGTGAAATTGCCCATTGTCAAATAGCATTATTGGGGCTTACAAGAGAAGAATAGGTATCACATTGTTGAAGGTGCAGCCCATCACAAGCTAAAGGTTGTGGCAAAATAGAGGAAGTTGAGAAAAAAAAAATCAGCTGAACTGTTCACTAATGAAGCCCCAATTTGTGTGTAATATGTGACATTACTGCAATGCATTCTGTGCCTCATTTTTCCCTCTTCGGCTCCAGGTTCAGATTCACCACAACGGGAAATCAATTTGATCCTTTGGTTAAACAGAACCTGGGATATAAAGCTAGAGAACCCCTCATCT